CACCTCATTAAATGAACTGGACTTTGTTAGCAAGATCATGGAAAAGGCTTTGGCCAAAAGGCTCTTGACAGAAAAGGCTTTGCTTATCCTGGACTTCATGTCTGAATTCTGGATTTGGCTATATTTAGTGAAGCTGTAACTGTCATTATGCCTGAAACCAGGAAGAAGACACCATTCACAACCACCCCCTGAAAATCTGCAGTCGCCTTGAGGAAACCAGACTTCCCAGCAGGCAAAGACATCTGAAGTGGGAGGGATCAGATTGGCGTTTGCATCAAGACAAGCCATCAGGTGCTTGTAAGGAATCTCTTTCCACCTGGTACTCAAGAGGCCCCATAACATACCTCTGCTCACTACCCTACCTTCATTTACCACCCCTCTTCTCTCCTCTCTGTACCACTGTCATCTCACTTCCCCACCTGGTTCTGCTTCAAGAGGTTCATCTCTTACCTTCCCTGTTACCTTCCCCAGTGTAGCCCACTATTCTAGCATCCTTCCCCCACACTAGCCACTCCCTTTCCCCACAATCAGTGCAGGGCTGAGGCTCAGAAGGAGCACCGTGCATGTACCATGTTATTCAGCAGTTATTTAGAAGGGCCACGGAAGTGTGTGGGCAGCAAATAGAACCACACAACAAACATTAAAGAATTTCCTTCTACCTGTTTGGGTCTTTCTCTCCTTAACTTGGAAAGGAAACTTGTACCAAACCAAACGGCAATGTCTGACCTGGCAGCACGCCTGAAACTCACCATAGCATTTCACCACTCCACACTTTTGCATACATTGTTCTCTCCACCTCCAAAGCCTTGGGAAACCCTGAACTGGAGGATCAGGTTGGCTATTTCCATTCATGTCATCAGGCCCTTTCTCTTTATCATCTCATAACATCTTTCTACCATCTACAATGTATCAAGGGTCATGCAAAGTGCTAGATACGTATCACAAGGTTATTTGTTATTTGTTGGCCTATGAGTTCCTTAAGAGTCAGGCCCACATTCTAGTCATCTTAACTCTGCAAACAAATGCAGAGCCCGCCACAAAGAAGCACTAGCAGAACATAAGCATACATCATACTGATGCCTCCAAAGCATAGGATTAAATGCCTCATATGGTTATTTTTAGTGGCTTCATACACTGCTAAGCTTTATTACTTTACTCTGTAAGTAGGAGGAATTTCCAAAGTTTACTGACAGAGGGACTTTGCTGTTCTCATTAGCCCTAGACCCACAATCTTATAGTGTAGGAGTTATCTGGTCTACCAGATAATATAGCTCAGTAATGCTGTCCTCGACATGCAGGTAGTCAACAAACACCTACTTATTGTTTAAAACTTAAACTTAAGGACTCACACAGGTAGAGGAATATGACAACAGCATAACTTCTTGGAGCATTTCTCCAATGTTCCCATTGAGCTCATTCTGGAAGTTTGAAGCCAATCTTCCCTTGACATCACATGCCAATTAAGTCAGATGTGACTTAGCATCTCATCATGGCATCCTGGCTGAGAGAGCTGCATAAAACATATCCTCCTGATCACCCAGCCTGCAGACGGCCTCATCCTCTGCACTCATGACTAAGCGGCTGCTGGACAACTTGGTGAAACCAGGCCAGCAAGGCGCCAGATGCTGCTGCTGCTCTACAGACAGCCACCCACCATTTTGTCTTGCCAAGCACCTGCTTCTCTGGGTCCTTGCAATCCCTCAGTATTTTGAGCACAGACCAAAACACAGTTGAGGGGAAAAAAACAGAGTTAGTAGGATGCAGTGACAACTGGGTCTGTGTTTGAAGCTCCCCATACCATCCTTCCCCACAGTGCCCTGGGTACTGGGTACACAATACTCATGACCCTTAGACAACTCCACCAGGACTGATAGAAAAGTCACCACCTAGACACTCAAAGAAGTATGGTCCAGGGAAGGAGCATGGCAACCATGGACATCTGATGACACTCTGGGAGCTGGCAAGGCCTCTGCAAAGAACACCTGGTTCCCCAGTGACGATGAAGGAAAGGTGAAAGGGATCACTTCTGATTGCAGCCACCAAACCAGTCTTTACACTGGATCCTCCTTAACTGTCAACATGAAACAATGCTGTCAGTGCCAATCACTGAATGCCTTCAAAAAAAATGTTAAGCATGTCCATCCCCTCATTCAATGATGGAGCTTACTTTCTTTTTTTTTTAAAGATTTACTTTTATTATTTTTTTATTGGAAAGGCGGATATACAGAGAGGAAGATCTTCCGTCCGATGATTCACTCCCCAAGTGAGCGCAAAGGCCGATACTATGCCAATCCGAAGCCAGGAGCCTCTTCCGGGTCTCCCACCCGGGTGCAGGGTCCCAAAGCTTTGGGCCGTCCTCAACTGCTTTCCCAGGCCACAGGCAGGGAGCTGGAAGGGAAGCGGGGCTGCCGGGATAGAATCGGCGCCCATATGGGATCCTGGGCATGCAAGGCGAGGACCTTAACCACTTGCACCACCACGCCGGGCCCAATGGAGCTTACTTTCAAAGCAGTGGTCTTAAACTTCAGCCTGCATTTAAGTCGGCAGAAATTCCTTACCCCACACTTAAAGTCTGTGAAGTAAGATGGAGAATCAATTTCCAACAAGCTCCTAGGTGACCAGGATGCTCTTGACATGGCTCCACACTTGGAAAATCATCACCATATAGAAATCGAGGTTCAAGAGTAGTCTGGAATGGCTTCATTCCATCCACATCTAGTACAGAACAGACTGGAATCTGAACCCAGTTCTGCCTCTACAGTCAGTACTGGTAACCCCATTGCAAAATGTGTGAAGGTTTGCCTTGTCTTCCCAAGTTCACCAATTGCTCCTTAAAGGCATAGTATATGCTTCAGGAGCCTTTCATTTCCCCTCAGTACTTGGTAGTACTTTGGAGTTTTGCAGGGGCTACATAAAGACTTTGTGTACCAGCCCCTCAGACCTACACACTTCAAAGGGGCACAAATGCAAACTCAGTTATAGCTAAGGAGCGAAAGAGAGTACTGCCAGACCTGGCTTTCCACAATACCTCTTGCCGTCTGAGTCTTCACTATGCTGTCACTGCACTAGCTAACTAGCATTCATCCTTCCATCACCTCCCCTAGAAAACAATCTGTGGCTCCCCAAAATTGGGGCGTATCTCCAAGATGGCGCTTATCTAAACTCTACTCCAGTATCTAGTTCGATACCACCTCCCCAAAGCCTAGCACAGAGCCTGGCATATCACAGCCAGGCAGTACATAACTGTTAAATGAGGAAAATAAATGAATGAACACTGCAAGCCCTAAGTTCCACTTTAAAATATCAACACGCACAATGTGCAGTTCTCAAGGAAGAAGAGGACTGTCTAGAAAATGAAGACTGCTCTTGCCTTTTCTCTCCCCCATGACTCGTCAGGCTCCACTTAGAGCAACACCATCCAGGATGAAACCACGTTCCAGCTGAACAGATAGACGCTGCTGGACACCGATCAGCACAGGCCGTTAGATGGCGATGAAAGAGCTCCACGCCCTGCGCCGCTGCTGGCCTTCTGCACTCACACTATTCCTCCACCTCACCACCCCACTGCAGTCAAGGGCTTTGGCACAGGGAAGGAAGAGGCAACTCAGACTCCAGGGTGCAGCTCTCTGGCAGCAGGCACACAAGCCAACTGCCCCTCTGCACCAAAGGCCACAGCCAGGACCCAGAGGGATGGGGGACTCAGGCCCCAGATTAAATCCAGCTACAGCAGCACAGAGAACAAAAAACAAGCAACAATTTCACAAGGACAGGCACTCCCAGCTAACTCTTTTCAAACAGTATTTTTAAAGGAAAGCCTTCCACCATGCCCCGGAAACCTGGGCCCTGCTGAATCCTGTGCTTACACAAGCTCAAAGCCAGCCACAGCTTCTTCCTCTTCCCAGCCCAGCGGCCAGCCTGCCACCCTCACTGCTCACCAGGACAGGCACTCCCAGGCCCAGGTAGGTACCTTTGCTTCAGCCTTCACTTGCCAAAGGGGCATCCCCGCTGCCCCTCATCCCCACCACCATGTTGTAGCAGGTGGTCTCTCCCTTCCCCCAGTCCCTCAGTCTATAACACAACCTACAGCAGGCTGGCCCATTCAATTAGTTTGAATTGCTTCATGCCATGGAAATTGCTGCTTTTATTAAAAATAAAAGCACACTAGGCAAGCAATGAGCTGTGAAAAGTGTGAGTCTGGCATAATTATGAAGGTTGAGGTTAAGGTTACCCAAAGAAATGGGCAGAAGCTTTTCTGAGAGCCTGGGGGATCAAGATATGCATCTACATGAGTACAGACATACGGACCAGCACACGGGCTCACAAACTGACGCCACACACCTAAGAGAGGAAAAAAAACAAAGTCAGAGCCCCCTCTCTGCATTAAAAAAGAAATAATAGTGAAGACTGGAGGAAGAGGGGCATACTAGACGGAACTCAAAATCACCACCAGGATCTCGGATCACATCTGCTGATGCCAGTGACTGGTCAGCTTCTCAAAACCACTCAAATCCACCCAGAGCCTTGACTCGGAAAAACACACTGCCATCCTCGGAAAATCTGCTCTTCATGCCTGCCCGTCCAAGTGTGGGAAAGTTGGGGAGGAGAAGCAAAGACCTTTCTTCTTCGTGGTTCCCCCCAACCTCTCACCCCCACTCCAAAGCAGGAGGGTGATAAGCCCATTGCCCTGCTTTCCCCTCTCCTCCACCACCACTTTAGTTAAGTGGCTAGCTTCGCAACACGCTGGTTGTTCAAAATCAAATGCCACTAAAGTAAACAATTTCAACAACCGAAGTCTCCCCCTGCCCCCTCCCACTACCACCCCAAAGCCCTGTCACTTTCAGATTTCAATCTCTCAAGGACAATGAGTCACAAGGCAGGGGAAGGGGGAAGGGAGACTCAAATGGTCAGAACCCATTCATACATTCAACGCCTGGGAAGCCGCGGTCCTACCACATCAGCACAGGATCCCAGGGCCCGGGGCCCAGTTCTCCCCCACGTACCTTCCGCCAGCACCTCGTCCACGGTGACCTGCTGTCGCCCGATGCCGAAGACCCTTCCGATGTAGCCGCTGCCCAGGCCCGAAGTGCTGCCCCCTCCTCCGCTGGAGCCCGAGCCCAGGCCAGAGCCGCCCTGCTCTCGCCGGGAGTCGAAAAACTTCTTCATCTTGCAAATAGGAAGCAGCAAAGCAAAAAGACCGACGGCTTCGGGATTTTTTTTTTTTTTTCAAGAAAACAGATCCAAGGATTTCTTCTCGGATTTCAGCTCGCAGAGGAGCCACCCGAGCCCGGCCGTGGGGGCGGGGGCGAGGGAGGATGCGATCGGAATATGCGTGTCAGTCGCGCCGCAGGTCGCCTCCTCCTCCTGCTCCTCCTCCTCCCGAGAGCGATTCGTGTAAGTTTAGCCCTGTGATGACAGAGGAAGAAGCCAGGATGAATCAGGAACACACTCAGAAATTCACTGCTGAGTCCCAGGGAGAGCAAACACCATCAGCCTGGGGAGACGCTTCGCGCATTTCCCCCGGAGAGGGAAAAAAAGAACCAAACCTGGGGCTGAAAACGCATCCCACCTCCCCCTGAACCCAGGATATCCCGAATCCAAAGCTCCAGGAGAGACGGGATTGGGGCCATCCCGGGCAGCGCTGACCCGGCCGGGCACTGCCTCTCCACCCTCGTCCCCCCCGATCGCCCCGCCGCCCCGCGCGAGGCAGCATCCCCGCGGCACCCACTTGAGAGGGTTCGGCCGCCGGCGCCCAGCTACCAGCCGCGCAACATTGTCACGGCCGCCGGGCGGAGAGGAGAGGAGGCGGAGGCGTCGCGGAGAGGAGGCGGCGAGGCCGCGAGAGCCGGGCCGCGTTCGGCGCCCGCCCGCCCGCCAGCTGATCCCCCGAGCGCCCGGCGGAGACTGACCCGCCGCCCCTCCCCCGCGCGCGCTCCCGCCCGGCTCCGCCACCCAACCAGGAAGTGAATCGCCGCCGGAAGTGCCTCTCGGAGCGGCGCGCCCAGGGGCCGGGACTTCTCTGGCCTCCGCGGCTCTGCAAAGAGTCGACGGCCAAAAGGGGGCCGAGGAAAGCAGGGGGTGGGGGTGCTTCAGGACAGAGAGAGTTTTTTGGGGAAAGCAAGTAGTTAGTCCCGGGCGCGCTGGGCTTTCTGGGAAAGGTAGTTCGGTTCTGGCTAGCGGTTGGACTACAACTCCCAGGATGCCCCTGGAGCTTCTGGCGAGGCGGCAGCCTTGGCCTCCGCGGCCTGGAAGGTATTTAGTGGGTGGCTATATCTAGAAATTGGCTTCTTTAGGCACATCCGCTAAGAGAAAAGTGCCTGGGACTAAGTTTCCTCGCGACTGCACATTCCACTCTTTTGGAACCATCTTATTTGCAGCCTGGGCTCCTGGCACAAGGGATTGTGGGGTTTGTGGTTTCCGAACGGGTGGAGGCTGACACCTGAAGGACGCCGCTTAACTGCTGAGCCGCGGGATCGCCCTCGCTCGTCCACCGCCTGCCCAGGTGACGTCGGGAAGCTTGGAAGCTTGGACGCCCCCGACGTCACCTGGTAGGCGGTGGACGAGCGAGGGCGGTCGGGAGGATTGTACTGGCAGTTGATTCAGACGACAGCAGAACGCCAGCAATGAAATAAATGATGCCCTGCTCCCCCAAACTGACGAGCAGCCTCAACTCCCATAGAATGAGTAAGATTCAGACCGAAAAATGGCTCAACGGTGTGTGCGAATAGCGAGACCCAGCGGTTGGCTCGATCCCAGACTTTAGGGCTCGTCAGCCCACGGAGTAGCCCTTGTTTTGCTGCCCTTGCCTAACCCGCGTTCACCTAGGAACCCTTGGCTGACCTGCAGTTGTTTCTTGCTCAAAATTCTTCCCCTGACCCTTATTTTTACCAGACACGACTTTAGTGCCCAAAATGCGATTAGCCTTTGTGATTTGCATCTGCTAATCGTGGAATATTCTGAAGGCCAGTTGGAACACCTCTCTCACCCGAGAGATGATGCTGAAAACGCTGCCAAATCCTTGCCCTTCCCCCAAAAGCTCCGTGATATCTCGAACCCCTGAATATAGGTGAAATCTCACCTCCACCCTCTCTCTCCACTTCCTGATGCTGCCAGCCCTTTCCATTTGTAATTCATTCCGGAATATTTTTCCTCCAGCTGACACTTGAAGGGAGGAGAGAAAGGAGTCTTCAGAAAAGAAATAGTTCTTGCTTTCTGCAATCTGAATATTAAGCTGAGCTGGACAGGGCAAGCAGTGGCAGTTCCTGCTGCTGCCATTCCTTCTCTTTCAAGTGGTGTCATTGTAATTAAACTCCCTGCGCAGAGACAGCATCTTCCAGACACCAGCGCAGCGCTGGTTCACAAATTCATGCAGCCACCGGGTGAACAGCAGCACCTGCAACAACGTTCGCTCAAAGGAAGCCCACAGAGGCAGCTTCCTCTCACTTTCCTTAAAAGGCTGCATTTGTATCTGAGGAAGTTTGGGATACATCTTAAAATAGATGAGAAAGCTCATTTAGAATGAGGCTCTCTGACCCCCCCCCTAACATTCTCAGCAGCACCCATGGGTGTCTACTATTCTTTTCGAAGAAGGTTTGTTAGGTCCTAGAATGTGTGGCTGTGTCAGTTTTTAACTTCCCTGGGCTTTTCTGTTGCCAGACTAGGCCAGGTTTACCTCAAATCTCAAGTCTTGTTTCAAAGATATAAAAGCAGCCTGGAGGATTAGAGGCAGTTCCCGTGTCTGTATTTGAACACCCACCTCACCTCAGTATTTTGATCAGAATGCCAGGGAAGAGATGAAGAAAGACTGAATGCCTTGCTTTCATATCTGGATGACAGTCATTATAAACAGTTTTTATGTTATTGTATTATTGAGTCCTGACAACAACCCTGTGAAATACAGTACTCGTTTCATGTAAGTGGGGAGATGGAGCAGAGATAAGCAGCTTGCTCGAAACCACACTGATCATGAACGGCTCAAGCCAAGACTCATTAAACTCAAAAATTTTGGTTTCACAGCCCAGTCCCTTACCCGGGCTACACTAATCTATCTATTTAAAAAGAGAAAACAGACTGATGGTGAACTGCTAACATGAGAGACACATCTAGAAGTGGTACAAACCAACAGTTAGGCAAACTGTGCCAATCCGTGGCTGTGACCAAGACTGCTTAGGTCTCAGGATCTGTTTTCTTAACTATAAGGTCAAGAGCTTTCTTCCAACTCTTAGAAAATCTGGACTTCCCAAGTATAAAGTGCAGATAAGTCACGACAATCTTAAAAACTTCTACAGAGCTATAGTTGTTGCACACTGGGTTAAGCTGCCACTTACAAAACTAATAGTCCCATGTAGGAGTACTAGTTCAGGTCTTGGCTACTCCTGATTCAGTTCCCTGCTGATGCACCTGGGAAGGCGGCAAAAGATGGCCCAAGTAGTTAGGTCCCTGCACTCACATGGGAGACCTGAAAGAAGCTCTTGGCTCCTGGCCTTGCCTAGACCATTGTAGCCATTTAGGGAATGAAACAGTAGATGGAAAATCTGTTTGTCTTTCTGTCATTCAAATAAAGCTTTAAAACAAAACAAAAACCTACCACACTTCCTTCCAAATATAATTTGGTCCAATTTGCTTTGCTATGCAGTTTTCTGTATATTTGTGAGGAACTCCAAGGACTGAACCCACCATCCTGGACTCAGTGCCACCTTGAATGTCGTGAATGCCTGCATACCCAGGACTGTTTTAAATCTCCTAGGTCTTGTTCCCCTTGAATACCTGGTTACCCAGCACTATTGTAAACCTCTGAGCTCTCATCCCCCTTAAGGCCACTTTGTCTAATCGAGCTTAGTGACCTTTGGGTTTGGGCTCTGCACTTCAACAATCCTTTAAGGCATGTGTTCCTGGTATCCACTTACAGCCGCATTTGCAAATCCCTGACCCCCACATTCCCTATCTCCCTACCCTGAGGCCATACAAGATACCTCTCTGCTTTGTTCTGGGTTCTGCTCCCACCTTTTCCCTAACCCTACATTACCATCCTTGCTGAAATAAAGACCTTTCATGTGGCTCGCTTGCTGTGTCCAGCGTCTTGTTAGCTTTGTGAAAAAACTAACAGCATTATCATCTTAATTACCTCAAAATTAAGGAATATCATCCCCATATCCAATACAATAGTTGATAAAAATGTGTTCTTGCCAATTACTTAAATAACTGACTTCGCACAGTGACAAAAAGCAGTCTGATTAAGCTGGAGAGATCGAAATGTTTTAGATTAGGTGAGGTTTTGCAATATGTCCAGGAGATGCTAAGGACAACCACCATTTTTAATTGGAAAGGTCAGTGACATCTAAAACATTTATTCCACACAAAGTATGCCAATTAACTATGTTAAGTGCTGAACATGATCTTGGTTAGTACTGGCTGCCTCCATGTCAAATGGATGCTATGACCTCTTCTGTCAAAGTAATGCCATCATGAAGACTTTGTGAACAAACTCATTGGCTGTGTGTTGTGGCACAGTGAGTTGAACCACCACCTGCCATGCTGCTATCCTGTATGAGTGCTGGTTCGAGTCCAAGGTTCTCCACTTCCAAACCAGCTCCCTGTTAATGTGCTGATGGCCCAAGAGCTTGGGCTGGGCCAGGGTGAAGCCAGAAGCTAGGAACTCCACATGGATCTCCCACATGGTTGCATATTACCAGGAAGTCAGACCAGAAGAGGAGCCGGATTACAACTCAGGAACTTCGGAATGGGACGTGGGCCTCCAAGCGGCATCAACTACTGTGACAATGGCTCCCATCCAGATTATTCTAATGCACATTCAAGTTTAAGAATGACTGTTCAGCAGAAGGGAGCTACCAACAAGCATTTCCATTTAAAAAACATTTCTTGATTTGAGCTTAGTTTTATGGTTAGGAAAAATAATCATATGCTCATTAAAGAGGAAAATGAAACAGTTATAGTTCTACCACTCAGAGAAAAATGCAGTTGACTTGGGCAAATGACTTAATTCTTACGTTGCTCGGTTTCCTCATGTAAAAAAATTTTTTAAAGATTTATTTATTGGGCCTGGCGCGGTGGCACAAGTGGTTAAGGTCCTCGCCTTGCATGCCCGGGATCCCAAATGGGCGCCGGTTCTAATCCTGGCAGCCCCACTTCCCATCCAGCTCCCTGCCTGTGGCCTGGGAAAGCAGTCAAGGACGGCCCAAAGCTTTGGGAACCTGCACCCGCATGGGAGACCCGGAAGAGGCTCCTGGCTTCTGATCGGTATAGCGTCCGCCGTTGTGCTCACTTGGGGAGTGAATCATCGGACGGAGGATCTTCTTCTCTGTCTCTTCTCTCTGTATATCCGCCTTTCCAATAAAAATAATAAAAGTAAATCTTAAAAAAAAGATTTATTTATTTTTATTGGAAAGGCAGATATACAGAAAGGAGGATAGACAGAGAGGAAAATCTTCTGTTCGATGGTTCACTCCTGAAGTGGTTGCAACAGGTGTAGCTGAGCCGATCCAAAGCCAGGAACCAGGAGATTCTTTGTCTCACACGCGGGTGCAGGGTCCTAAGGCTTTGGGCCATCCTCAACTGCTTTCCCAGGCCACAGACAGGGAGCTGGATGGGAAGGGGGGCCACCATACGGGATTCTGGCATGTTCAAGGTGAGGACTTTAACCACTACGCTTTCACACTGGGCCCTCCTCATGTAAAATTGATGACAATACCTATCTCATGGGGCTGGCCTGAGGATTAAACAAAGCAATTCCTATAAATCATTTAGAGCAGGGCTCAAGATCTAATATCTAATAAACACAAAAAATAGATAAATAAACAGAAAAGGCAGATATGGATGTGGGCTCTAAGCTTTGTCCTGCTTGCCCCTAGAAGAGAGATCCTCATTTTAATTTATTATTATTATTTT